CTTGCAGCTTCTACCTCCTGCATTTTTGAAATCAGGCAAAATGAAAAGCAAGATGCCCAAACTCGATGGCTGATTTTGAAAACTTTGGTCTTTATTTTCCCATCTGTCATTCCCATCCTTATAAAACTCAGCATCCAATTTCATTGCCTTATGCTAAGTTAGGTACTGATCTACAAAATCATCTGGGTCAGGTCCATACCCCCCCACCCCCGAGGTGACTAGGTGTCTCTCTCTTGTCTCTAATAAGCTTTGAATTTGGTCCTGTAAATGCTAAATCATTGTATGCTATCATGCGGCAGAATCAATTCTCTGCAGCTGGGAAATCTTTGTCCTTTAAAATATTCGAACCCAGGCAAAACCCCTGTCCCTGTGCCTGGATCTCCCACTGGCGTTAATGAGGATGGTGTGAACGGGGCGACTGTCACGATGTGGTGCTACACAGCACTTGGTGGATTAACTCTGCATACATCACCTATTTCCACACATAATAGACACCTGCTCCAAAACTGCCAGGTCTCACCTTCCGTGTTACTTGTGGGCGATGAAGTCAGCAGCTGAAATTAATTACTGCACCCCCCCTGCCATGGGAGAAGAGGGAAACCCCTCACTGAATGAATCCTTCTTAAGAATAATTTTTGTTTGGAGTAGTTTCTAGTGTGAAGGGTTGAGGAACATTTTGAAAAATGGATCAGAAATGCAAATTTTTGTCCAAGAGTCTGTTTCTGTTAATACTGGTGTCAGTCTGCAGTAGCTCCCCTGAAGTCTGCAGATGTAATTCAGGCTAGCTAGCACCAATATAACTAAAGACACACCTGAATCTGTTTTTCTTGAAATCCTGATTCGGCCCAGCTCAGTCTCAGTATTTAAAAAAAAAAAAACTTTTTTTTTTTTCTTTAATATCAGCAGCTAAAAGATTTAGCAAAACCCACAGATGCTGCATGAGATCGGAACAAGAGGAAACACCTAAGCTGGTCACGAACACAGGGGGAATCTCCCTGCATACCCTGGAATTTGGCCAGGACTTAGCAATCTCTGTTGGTACAAAAGACCCCAGTAGCTTTCATTTGCTTGCTCAGTCAGTACCCTTGAACCAA